CGATTATATATATATATATATATATATATATATATATATAATATATATTATATATATAGTTTTCTTTTTCAAATATATCTTTTTTTATATTTTTTCCTTTTATGCTCCGGTATTAACCATTTTTGTTGTCAGGGATAATAAGTTGAACAGATATAAGCTCATAATAATATTACACTGAAGCTAGTGATTATAAAAGCTTGCGTCCATTTCGCCATTGCAGTGCTAGTTGCTTAAAATCCAGATAAAGGCAGTTCTAATTCCTGGAACCAATCAAATTTACCGAACCAGATGCAATTGACCATGATTTGCATTCAAGCATTGGTGATGCTGACATTTTCCCCCCAATGCCAGAACAACTTACATTCATTTAAATTTTTTTCCAGAGCTTTCTTTCTTTCTTTCTTTACATAATTACTTACTATCATAATAACAATAATAATTTTCACCCTGTAAAATAATAATATGATTATGTATAGCCTATTGTTATTTTGTGTAAAACAATTGTCTTGAAGCTTTGGTAGCTTGATAGTAACTGTTAAAAGCCCCCATGGCACGACTTTAAATTTAATGCTAGGTGATGAAGTGAACAATATTCGTGATCCAGCCTATATTAGCAATGATAAAAATTCAAACATTTTGGCTGGTATTTTAATGTGGCTTTCATTGACTCCGCTGTAATGCTTAATTGGTCTCCATACTGGGATCATAGACTAGTTTACGATGTCGTTTTTAGACCGCGGATGACCTGTGAACTCGAGACAGGGCCTGAATTTGTCAAGATGTGAGTTTTGATGTGTTTCAGAGATGTTAAAAAATAACCAAAAAACGGGTAAGGATGATGTGAATGAGGGCTCAGGCAGTTAAGGGGAATTGAGAAGCTTATGATCTTTGATCCGTGGATGTCTTTTTGCTTATCAAAAACACTTGAGACGACTGCAGTACAAAGCGACTTCATATTACTGCCTGACTTCATTAAATGCGGTTTGCCATCTGGGACAGTGTAAATCTCTGCACAGATGTTAAGGAGAATATCATTTTCTTATATCGGAGAGAATTCTTGTAATAGTGCGGTTTTCACTCCCCAGCTGTTAACCGAGTGCGCAGAAGACCTTTACGCACATAAACGCTGTTTTATCATCTGCTCCAGCTAATAACCAGAGAGGATTTCATTTC